TCCTGTGCAGCGTGCGCGCATTCGACGGCATCGCGACGCTGTCGGAGGGCGACAAGCCACGTGCGACTCCTGGAACAAATGCACGAAGCCACATGGACTGGGAGGTGATGCTGTCTTCGTCGACGGCGCTGTTGGACCCGCAGTACCTCTCCGAGATCTGCCTGACGTTTGACGTGCTTTCGAAAGCGCTGCGAAACGGCGAGCGGCTCAACCACGCCTCGTTTTCGCTGCAGGAGAACCACTTCAAGTACTCGGCTCGCAACCGGCGCATCGGCGAGCTGCTGCGCAAGGGCGCTGACGGCGGTGGCGGCGGCGGCGGCGGTGCTGGGCAAGTTTCGGACGTGCTGCGGTGGAGCGTGCTGCGCGATCCGATGTACCTGCGCTACACGACGGCGAGGATGGCGGCGCTCACGCTGGCTACGGAGCTGGACAAGCTGCGTGCGATTGTGCAGTCGCTCGTGGGAGAAAGCTCGCTGCGTGGCTTCGACATGCTCAAGGATCAGCACGACGAGCGGCTGTATCGTGTCGCCCGCCAGGCTTAGATAGGAGGGGCTTGCTGCATCGTTCGATGCCAGTCAATGTAATACTGCGAACAGGCAAAGCTGTTAGAGTGCGGGTGTGTGAGTCTGTGAGTGTGTGATTGTGTGTCAATTTCCGCATGTGGGATTAGGAGATGAGCAAAGAAGGCACACAGCCCGCGAGCGATGCACGCGTTGGGAGGGAGGTGGAGGTGGGCGGTGCAGCAGAGGACCCAAAAGGGTCAGGGCGCGTCGTCTGCTTTCACGCTGCTGTGCTGAGCTGCAGCTGCAATCGCCCCAACACTGCCTGCATTCACCGAGAGAGGGTGCACCGAAAGGCGAAAGGCTGCGCCCGGTGCTCACCTGCGTTTTTTTCACGGCGGCGCCTTTGCACGACTCTCCTTCAAGGCGCGCACATCGTACGTCGGCATCATTGCATCGCAGCACCGCAGCATCGCAGCATCGCAGCAACGAAAGCAACTCCACAACCCCACGGCGGCCCTCTCCCGAGACAGATGGCGCAGCACCCTTCCCCACCTTCCACCATCACCACCACCACCTCCTCCTCCTCTCCGCATACACCTACTCACCCACACCACAACGATACCCCGGCAGCGCCTGTGCAACATCCATCCAGCCCGCACGCCTCATCCCTGCGCTCCTTGCATCACTCCCTCGCTGCACGTCTCCCGCCTCGCTCGCACCACGCATCAGCCTCGTCGCCCCGAACACACGCCAGCATCCTCGCTCCAGCTCAGCATCACACGCCCGCAACCCACCGCTTCTCTGCCCTCTTTCAGAGCCGAAACACTATTACACCCGCCCTCCATCGTCGCTCCTCCTCCACGCGACAGCACGTAAGGATGGTCGGCTCCCACCTCCATCACGCTTTCCGCTCCTGGTTCAAGGAGACCGAAAAGGACGGCACCCCACTCCTCCCCGTGGCCCTCTCCAAAAAGTACACCGTCTTGCCCCAGGTTCTCGGCCAGGGCTCCTTCGCCGTCGTAAAAGCTGTCGTCGAAAAGGCAACAGGCCAGGAGCGCGCGCTCAAGATCATCGCAAAGAAACCGCTCAAGGACTCCAACGAAAAGATGCTCAAGGAAGAAATCACCATCCTCGGTAAAGTGGAACATCCCAACATCATCAAGATGTGGGACCTCTACGAGACCCGCGAGGGTGTCTTTATCGTCACCGACCTCTGCAGCGGCGGCGAACTCTTCGACCGCCTCGTCTCCAAAGTCCACTACAACGAGCTCGACGCACGTCACATCATGAAGCAGCTCCTCGCCGGCGTCGCCTACCTCCACGACCACGACATCATCCATCGCGACCTCAAGCCCGAAAACATCCTCCTCCGCGACAAGTCCGACCCCAGCGACGTCGTCATCTCCGACTTTGGCCTCTCCCGCTTCATCCCCGACGAAGGCCTCCTCATGACCGCATGCGGCTCCCCACAGTACGTCTCCCCCGAGGTCCTCCTCGGCAAGGGCTACGACGCCGCCGTCGACATCTGGTCCACCGGCGTCATCGCCTACGCCCTCCTCGGCGGCTACACCCCCTTCTACGGCCAGGATCAGCCCTCCCTCTTCCAGCAGATCATCAAGATGGACGTCCAGTTCGAGCCCGAATACTGGTCCGAGGTCTCGGACACCGCAAAGGACTTTATCCTCAAGTGCCTCTGCCCTGCCGACAAGAGGATGACCGCACACCAGGCTCTCGCCCACTCCTGGCTCGCCGACCTGCCCCCGCTCCACGAAGAGGCTTCCAAGGGCGCCTGCCTCAAGAATGGCGCTCTCCGCAACCTCGAGGCCATGCGCAAGCTCCGCAAGGCAGTCACCGCCGTAGAGGCCATCAACCACCTCCAGCGACTCCACGCCCTGCGTCAGCAAAACGGCGACGCCCTCCCGCACAAGCAGCAGTCGCTCCTCTCCATCGCCACCCACCTCCAGTCCCACAAGCGAGGCGACTCGCTCCTGCCGTCCCCCACCGATCGCACGCCGCCCAATAAACCTCTCGCAAACGCCGACTCCTCGGTCACCATGGCGGACGAGCCCGCCGAGCTGGACAACGCCCACAAGAAGGAGCGCGGCGATTCAGCCATGGCTCTCGACCTCACCGTCATGATGGCATGGATGCCCGAAAGTTGGGGTCGCTCAGGCTCGGGCGCTTCATCCACACCTTCCCAGTCCGGCGCCTCGGGCACAGCTGCAGTCGCCCAGGCCGCCGAGGATACCCTCAACCGCGGCCGCGAACCCACCTCTTCGTCCGCAGCCAACGACGTCGTCGCCGATGGCCAGGCGAGCCCCTCCGCCTCATCCACTGGCCATTCCGAAACCACCGTCCGTCCTGCCGCCCCGCCAGCCACATCGTCCAGCCAACCTCGTCGTGCCAGTCGCTCGACCAACCGCAAGGATACCGAATCCACAAAGACGCTCAACTCGCTCCTCGACCAGTACAAAAAGACCGACGTGCCCGCTTCCGCACGTCTCAACCCTGCCATCAAGGTCAGGGAACCCACCAAGCTCAGCTTCACCAACGCCTGGCGCTACCTCCCCTTCCTCGTCTCCCAGGGCGTCTCCATCGGCACAGCCGTCGCCTCCCACGCCATCTACGGCCCGCCCAAAAAGTCGTGGGGCATCGAGACCTCCGTCTTCACCCGCGTCCTCCGCGACGTCGCCGAGTACTCGGAGTTCGCCTCCATCGAGGGCCTCCAGCAGCTCTTTGACCTCGGCGCCTTCCTCCCCACGCCCAAGGACGGCCTCATCACCCCCGTCACCTTCCGCGTCAAGAAGCGCGGCCTGCGCGGATTCCTCGCCGAGGCCGATGCCGCCGAGGACGGCAAGCGCGAGATCAGCGCAGAGTGGGTCGTGGGCAAGCAGACCTGGCGTCGCCTCCAGGCAGAGTGGCGCAGCGGCAAGCAGAAGGGCAAGGAGCGCGTCATCCTCTACATCCACGGCGGTGCGTACTTTGTCATGTCGGCGGCAACGCATCGGCCGCTCACCATCTCGCTCTCCAAGTACACCGAATGCCGCGTGTTTGGCATCAACTACCGCCTCGCGCCCGAGACCAAGTTCCCCGGTGCGCTGCACGACTGCGTCGCATCCTACTTCCGTCTCACCGACGACCTCGGCATCCCGCCGAGCAACATTGTGCTCGGTGCCGATAGCGCGGGCGGTGGGCTGGCACTCGCGCTCATGTACTATCTGCGCGACAACGACTACCCGCTCCCCAGCGGCGCCATGCTCTTCAGTCCGTGGGTCGACCTCACCATGTCGTGCGACTCGTGGGACACCAACGCCGAGTTCGACTATCTGCCCATGCCCAAGTCGGGCGACCACATGAACCCGGTCTGGGCGTATCTTGGCGACAACATCGACAAGTATCTTACGCATCCGTACGTCTCGCCGCTGTTTGGCGACATGCACGGCCTGCCGCCGCTGCTCATTCAGTGCGGCGATGCCGAGGTGCTGCGCGACGAGGTGACGCTGCTCGCGCACAAGGCGTCGCTCTCGGGCGTCGCGGTACGACACGAGCTGTACGAGGATTGCGTCCACGTCTTCCAGGCCTTCCTCTTCCTCGATGCCAGCCGAAAGGCGCTGCAGAGCGCACGCCACTTTGTGCGCACCGCGCTCGACAAGCGCGGCAAGTCGCGCGACGCCGCCGGCCAGCAGCGCAGCGAGTCGGCGGTGCACAAGGAGATGGCGCAGGGCAACATGCAGACGCCGCAGGGCGCCAAGGCGGATCCGGCCACGGGAGAAAAGCAGGAGGCACCTGGCAGCACCAGCGCCAGCGCGTCTGCCGGTCCTGCCAGCGCGGCCGGCAAGGGCAAGATGACGCCCAGCACCTCGTCCAACGCGGTGGACGGCGGTATTGACGAGATCGTCTCGCTGCCTCACTCGCGCTCGGACGGCGACGTGGATGACGACGACGACGACGCCGAGGCGGCCGGCTTGCCCGCCGACGAGGAGGACTGGGATCTCGAAGGCCGCGTCTCGGGCGAAGAGCGTCGCGGTGCCACGGGCGCCGAGGCGCCCAAACCGCAGGGACTTGCAGCTCAAGCAGCGCAAAAGGTGCTTGGAGCGGACGACAAGGCAGTGACGGAAGCCACGAGCCAGGGTGCTGAGGAAGGCGACGAGCAGGAGAAGCAGGGATCGTCGGGCTGGGACGCGTCGTTCCCGCAGATGACGATCGAGGAGGCGCGGCTGCGCGGCCAGGCGGGCATGCAGCAGCAGCTCTCATCCGATGCTCCGGCGCTGAGCAAGTTCCATGCGCCGCAGAAACCGCTCACGCCCAAAATGCGCCGCTCGAGCAGCGGCAAGGAGCTCTCGACGCTGCTCAAGTCGTTCGAGAGCGGCGGCTCCACGCTCAAGACCAACGTCTGGACGCCCAACACCAACTAGACAGCACCGGCCCGTACGGACATTTGGGCAGCAACTTTGAAGCATGCTTTTCACATTTTCCAGACGAGTGTGCATGGGGTTTTTAGGACCATCGACTTCGACGCGAAGCTGGTGTGAGGCCCAGGAGGAGGGGACCGTATTGGGAGCGCATGAGGAATGCGATTGCCAGTGGGCCTGCGAGAGTATTGAGTGTGATGGCCCAGATGGCCACATTGAAAGCCTGTTGACCAACGAGGCCGGAACGATTGGCGATGTTGATGATCAGATAGCCGATCTCGCCGCGCGACATGAGGCTGACTCCCAAGAACAGTGCGGCTGGCCAAACGGGTGGCTCCACTAGCTCTGCGCTTGGGTCGAGTGGACCGAGTTGGATGTCGTTTGGTTAGCGGCGTTCGAGTCGATCGGCGAGCAGGAGCCAGGCACCCGCAGCTACTTTGGCCAACGCCATGAGACCGGCAAAGATGATGCCGCGCCACACGGTGCTGGCGGTGAACATCGACCGGACGGGGATGGCAGAGCCAATGCTCGAGAAGAAAAACGGCATGAGCAGCGTCTCTTGCACCACACCCAGCGCGGTGTGCGTAAAAAGGTGCTCCGGAGACCACAAGCACTGCTCGCTGCGAGGCCAAGTTCGCTCGGCCCACAAGGCGTAGAGGTACTTCATCATTGCGCCTGCACAGAACGCGCCGATAAGCAGAGACGAGCCGATCTCCTCGCTGATCACGCAGTACGCAAGCACCGTGCTTACTAGGAGCGTCGTAGCGATCATCTGCTGCAGACCGAGGTTGGCGTGCAGTCCCGCCATTGCACGTCGCAGTCCTCCAGCCACTCGACCCGACGACGAGGGTTCCGCAGGCGTTCGAGCTGCTGCCGTGTACCGAATCAGCGCCGAGATGATGACGGACCGAGAAAGCGGCGCGAGGATGTACCTCGACAGAAGCCATGAGATGATGAGCAACAGAAAGGACGATACTACGGGCCGGGCAATCGTCCACGGCGGGACGGAGCTCAGCCCACCTCCCGACTGAGTCGATGACCCGAGAGTGGAGACGACACTCGTGATGACCAGCCCGATGATGTCGTCGAGCAGAGCTGCACCGACCAAGATGGTCCCCACGCGCGTATCCGCAATCCCCTGCTGCGTCTTGTCCCCACCCTACCCTCCTTGGTGCGGTCCTTGTACGTGCTGAGCACGGCAAAAGTCGTGCCTAGACTGGTCGATGCCAGAGCAGCGCCCACCGTAAAGCTCTCCAGCAACCCGTACCCGAATCCCGCCGGTAGCAATGCCATGCTGAACCCGATGGGCAGAACCACACCGGTCGCACCCACCAGCACCGCCATGCCAAGATTCACGGGGCTAGCTAGGATGTCCATCCTCGCAACTATGCCACCCTGGACAATGAGCAGTATGAGACCGAGGAATCCGATCGAAAGGATTGTAGACTGCACGTCTAGCGGAAGGATGTCGCCGAGCGGCCGCGCGTATATCGCACCCAGCACGAGTGGGCCTAGGATCCCGGCGGACAAGAGGCGCTGGAAGGCATGATAGCAGACCGAGAGGAGGAGCAGGTACGAGCTGAGCACCAGCACGGTGACGAGCGAAGGCGACGTGTATGGCAATGCATCCGGCGAGGCGGATACGGAGGTTGAAGACACCATGGTGAGGTGGTGGATGAAAAGGCGGGGCGGAGGATGGAGGGATCGAAAAGTCATCGGCGACATTTTAATTGCCGAGCGAATTTAGGACGTCGAAATAGATCACTTTCGGCAATCACATGCAGGGTCCAACCAGGCTCACCCACATTCACAGCGTACCTCTGCAGGACTGTGATGGGATGTGCAGTGTTCTGGCTCGAGCTTACCCCTCTGCATGGGGGGATCACACGGATCAAGCTCGTCGGCTGTGGCCAAGCTGATGTGTTGCGGCTTTGAGCAAAGTGAAAGCGAGATTTAGATCTACTGAACAAGACTACGTTGCAAGACTCTAGCGATGACCGAACAACTATCTATTCTGCGGCGCCGGCGCAGGGCAATCACACTTTGAAAGAAGCCTCGGAGTCGTGCGAGGCATTTCGCTCGTCGAGCGCTACGCTATACTTGTTGCCTCGGTTGGTTTCGCAGAGTTGGCCGAGAGACACGGCGGGGTTGAAGACGTTAAAGATGAACACGGCCATCGTGACGAGGGCTGCATCAAAGACGTAGAAGGTCCACTCTGTCTTTGCGATGACGCCGACCCAGCCGACACTCATCTCGATCAGGCGAAATACGCTACGCGCAAAGATCAAGGCGCTCGATACGGCGGTGGCCGCCAAAAAGGTGCGTGTCCTTTTGTTCCAAAGCACTTCGGAAGGCGGATTGCTGCTGCACCTACGCACAAACACGACGAGGATCGTGTTGAAGAGGATGTATCCGACGAGCTGAATCGCAAGACCAGCGACGACAATGTTGCCGCCCGACGTAGGGTCTCTGTTGTCCATCTGCGCGATGGCAGCAATAGCCGATCCCCCACCCTGCACGCCGAGCGACGCGACATCCAGCGCCACAAAGAACGGCAGGATCCACCTCGGATTGACCAGCGAGTATTCTGGCGGGAAGAGCACCGCCACTTTTCCGAGGATGGCAAAGTCCACCGCGGCAATCAGCGCGGGCGTGATGACGAGGATACACTGCATGCTGATGTATGCATTGACACCAAACGGTTCAAAGTGTCCATAGACACGAAGCGCGTGTCCCACGGCTTCGAAGAGACACGCCAGAGTAAGGATGACGAGCCACCACTGGCGGTAGCGAAAGTTTTGGACAAGATGCCATATGCCCGAGACGGCGAAGAGACAGGCAAAGATGATGGGTGCAGAGAGCACAGGGAGGTAGCCATAGGGGCCTCTGGCTAGCTCCTGGCTCGTCCAAGCACGGCGCCATACGGCTGTGGCCACGATGACCGGCTCGATGGTGGCGATGCTAGGCATGTCTGGAGTCTGTGAGGCAAGATGATATGGGTTCATGAGGGAGACTCGACCAAGCACACGGCTGATTTATACATTCGCAAGACTGCCTGCGTCACAATACAAGGTACGAGGGCTCATACGACCGTTCTAGAGCAGAGCCACCTTTGATACCCTCACGCGGCACCATGGGGCTGTTGCGGTTTCTGACCGAAATGCGTTGCCGCCGAATGCAATGAGGCATACACAGCCTTATCTCTACTCTGGCGGAAGCTGACAGAGCGGAAGAGCGTCGGTCGGAAGGGTGACGGCTGCGCAAGGTGACACTTTTCCTCCGGGCGGAGATTTGGGTACGGGCAAGACTATGCGGCTGCTTCCAGCGGAAGCACGCCCGAAAGCACAGCGTGTGTAGCAGCTGCGAGCGGTAGTGCAGAACGTCGGACCCTGCTGAGCTCAGAGCGCGGCTTGCCTCCGGACGCCAAGCCGCCGCCGCCGCCGCCATGCTGTCATCCATGAGGGCTCGGGAGTGCCAAATCTCGGAACTCGCAGTGCTTATGCTGATCGCGGTGGAAAAATTGCAGGAGTGCAAACCCGACTGAATGTAGGGTTAGTGCACAACACGTGGCCGGACCCTGGGCAAGCTGGGCCTCGATTGCTGATACAGCCAAGATATCGCGGAAGCCGGAACGCGGGTAGCTCCCCAGCCTTGGATAAGCCAGATGAGACAATCCGGCGCTGTTCCTGCTCAACGCCGTCAACGCAGTCATGCTGTCAGCTCTCCATGGAAGCGGGACTGATTCATCGTGACGGAATTGGCGAAGCAGCAAATGTGAGGTCGGCTGTTCGTGATTTTATACCCTCGACCGCTCCTCCCACCGCGTCTACGTCGCCCGACTTCCGACATTGTGTCACCCGACTTCCGAAATTGGGCACAGCGACGTGCCAATGGCGCAAGGGCTCAGCTCGCTTGCAAAGAGCCGGCCGGAGCCAGAAAAACGCAACCAGTGCCGCACCCGACTCCACCTCGATCGCCCGACACGCGCCGGAGCAGCGATTCCTTCTCACCAACACCCTTTTTCCCTGAGCCGGCCAATCTCACAACGCCGCTCCTCGCCCAGCATGACGTCCAAGATCCCCGGGATGCAGCACCTGCAGTCGTTCACGCAGCGCAAGGAGAAGGAGTGCCGCAAGCCCGAAGAGGGTCTCAAGAACGACCTCATCATTCGCGCCGCACGCGGCCACCAGACCGAACGCGCACCATGCTGGATCATGCGTCAGGCCGGAAGATACCTGCCTGGTGAGTAGTCGCTGCCAGAGTCGGCGGCACCGATTGTTGCGCCGCTTCACAACACTGACCGACTTCCCCTTTCTGCTGCGCAGAATTCCGCAAGATCCGCGAGGACCACGACTTTTTCGAGTGCTGCCGCAACCCGGAGCTGGCGTCCGAGATCACGGTGCAGCCCATCCGACGCTACTCGGGACTGCTGGATGCAGCGATCATCTTTTCGGACATCCTGGTGGTGCCGCAGGCCATGGGTATGGAGGTGGAGATGCTGCCGGCCAAGGGACCGCACTTCCCGGACCCTCTTGTGACGCCCAAGGATGTTGCGACGAAGCTTCGGAAGAAGGTGGACGTGGAGAAGGAGCTGGGATACGTGTACGAGGCCATCAAGCTCACACGCACCAAGCTGGACGGCGAGGTGCCGCTGATTGGCTTCTGCGGAGCGCCGTGGACGCTGATGGCCTACATGGTGGAGGGCGGCGGCAGCAAGACGTTTGAAAAGGCCAAGACGTGGCTGTTCAAGTATCCGGAGGAGTCCAAGGAGCTGCTGCAGCGCATCGCCGATGTCTGCACCGACTTTTTGGTGGGGCAGGTCAAGGCGGGCGCGCAACTGCTGCAGGTGTTTGACTCGTGGGCGGGCGAACTGTCGCCTGCCGACTTCCGCCAGTTTTCGCTGCCGTACCTGCGCTCGATCGCGGCGTCGGTGCGCGACATTCTGTCGACCAAGTCGATCCCCTGCCCGCCGCTCATCGTGTTCGCCAAGGGTGCGCTGGGCCACTCGCTGCCCGAGGTGGTCAAGGCGGGCTACGACGTTGTGGGGCTGGACTGGACGGTGGAGCCGTGCGTGGCGCGCAAGGTGGTGGAGCTGGCCTCGCCGGGCAAGGCGGGCTTCAAGGATGCCAGCGGCCAGAACGAGGCGGGCCACCGTCTGGCGCTGCAGGGCAACATGGATCCCTCGGTGCTCTACGCAGGCAAGGAGGCGATCGAGGCCAAGGTGGACCAGATGCTGCGCTCCAAGAAGGGCGGCTTTGGCGGCGGAGGCGCCTACATCGCCAACCTCGGCCACGGCATCACGCCGGGCGTCGACCCGGAGGCAGTCAAGATCTACCTCAAGGCGGTGCACCGCATCAGCCGCGAAGTCAACAGCGCTCTCGACGAAGAGTAGGACACGCCTGTTCCCGCTCCAAGCACTCGAGTAGTTTGATACAAAATAGCGCTGTCATTGTCACTTGCTCACGCTTGCCTGGAGAGGCGTGCGTGCGTGCGGGATGTCGCGAGCGCTTGTGGCGCAAGTGAGCAAGATGATTTCGAAATAATCGACAGCTGTTAGACTTGGAATTGTGCGGTCTGGGCCTGCACTTCCCCACAGATATGCAGGTGGGGCTAGAGGTGCATTGCCCGCGGTGGTGCTGCAGGAGGGCACGGGATAAGCTCGCGACGCTCGCAACACGCTGCCTGTCTACGCTTTGCACGCTCCAGAGGCTATACAAGAGTCGGCGTCAAGTGTCAATGAAGCGTGTGATCTAGGCTCATGCTCGGTGACAGTTGCGTGTGAGGGATCGAGAGCGAGAGGCGTCGAAAAATAGCTGCTCCGACGGCGATGCCGGTGCTCTCATCCTGCAGCTAGGTGCATGTGCGGGGACGAGCACCGGTCAATGTGCTGCTGACAACGCGCGCACGAAGATAGCTCCGAGGCGACGATCGCATCCCGAGAGTGCGTACATTTCTGCAGTCACATCCCACGGTCCAGGCCAGACAAGCGTCGTCGGGCGCGATGCGACGGGATGGCGTGGATCTTTGGCGTGGCTCCTTTGGCGGGCTCGCTTGATCGCCTCGGATCAACCGAAGACGAGAGCGCGTGTGGATCAGCTAGCTGGATCTGCAACGGCCGCTGTCAGTTAATCAGTCAGTCACTTGACGTTACAGACGCTCACGCGAGCTGCTCCTCACGGCTCCTCGCTGCTCCTCGCTGCTCCTGCGCCGCGCCGTTTTGTGCCTCCACTTTTGTCTCGGCCTTGGCCGCCTTTTACGCCGATCGTCTGCTGGCGATTGCGGAGCAGAGTGGTGCGCATAGATTGCCGCGCATCGAGCAGCACCGGCTATGTGCGCCTGGGCAGGAAGGGCTACACCAGCTAGTGCGGCGGCCCCTGACACCCCCCGCCTCCCCCGCGCTCGGCTGTAGCGCCCATCGTGTGCCTCGCCGCGCACGGAGCCCCGCTTCGCTACGTTTAGTCTGCCGCCGTAACCCTCCC